CCAGAGAGTGGGTTTGCACACCTTCCTGGCCCACCATGAGCTGGATTTAGGCCAAAACTCCATTTATCGCTTGACATTCATTAACCCTCACTCTGACTGTGGGCACCAGTGGTGCTCTGAATCCCCAGGATGAGTGCTAGCTCAGAGCCGTTGTCTAATAATCCCTGGAGAGTGTGAGGATTTTTATCTCTCCTCTGCACAGTTACCTTGGGAAAATGCTGTGGGTCCTTTGGGGGGTAACTAGGAAGATTTACAGTACATAATTCCAGTGTTACCATAGCATCCTTCCTCAAGGCTCCCAGTCTCCCCTTCCTCCTAGGGACCCTGGATATACAACCTGAGGGGCTGTGACACTCTATCATGGTGCCCCAACTTTCTGTTTGCCAGAATTCTTTTGGTTAAATGGGTCATGCTTCTCTTTCAGTCCTAGGGGCCCCATGATTCAAGTAATTACCACCAAAGATCAAATCACTCAAAACTTAGAGCCTTAAAACAACCACCATTCATTTAATGGACAATTGTTGGGGGTTGGCAACTTGGACTGGGCTCAGCTGAACTATTCTTCTGCTTGTGTCAGCTGGACTCTCATGTGTCTGTCATCAGCTGCTGCTAGCAGTCCTGGTGACACTACTTCTAGGCGTTGGTTGGCTGCCATTTGGGGATACAGGGATAACTGGGTCACGTGTCTCATCATCCAGTCTGGTGGCAGCAGGTTTACAAGAGTAGCAAGAGGCCAGGTCCCAATGCATAAGCACTTTTCTAGCTTTTGTCTGCACTATTTTTGCCAATGTCCCATTGACCAAAGCAAGTTAGAAGGTAGCTTCAAGAGAAATGAAACAGATCACCTCTTGACAGATCTGCAATGTCAATGCAAAGTTATGGATTCAGGGAAAAGAAACATTTGTGGCAATTTTTTCTCTGCCACAGGCACCAATCCTCCTCCCCCCGTTCTGGAGCCCTAGCCCTTTGCAGGCAGATCACTCAATTTCTTTAGAGAAACGCTGTTCATTTGCATCCAGGAGATAAAATTCTCCACTGGTGATGGAGGAGGGGAAGATGGTGGAAGTAGAGCCCAACTTATTCAGCCATTTTCCAAATAACTTTTAAACTAATCTTCTCCTTTTACCTCATCCTCCCACGTCCACTCTCCATACCTGGTCCTTCTTCCCCCAAAGTAGCTCTGCTTCTGCTGCAACCTTTGCCTGAGATTTATTTTTCAGTTTGAGCCAATCTGAATTCACTCCAGTAATTTATCAGACACTTTGGGCCACTACCCTCACCCCTTCCACTAATTTTATGAGTGAATTTACCTTGCATTTCTTTATAATTTTTTCTATTTGTTTTGGAAAGGTAAACACCTTTGTTCCATTCAGTGTCTTCTACTCAAAAGCCTCTCATTAAAGTTAAATCTATTATCTCTGGACCAATATAGCAGTTAAAAACGTTATATTCCTCCCATACATACTAAGAGTGGGTGATTCAGACAGAAGAATCAAGGTATATGCGCTCTATTGTGGGAAAGAAGAGCTAAAAGATTGTACAGTTTCACAAAAACAATAACTGTGGCCTATTACAACTATTTTATATTCGTGATGTCTGGTGTGAGGGAGAAGGAAGCATTAATTCCTTTGTTTAATGCATTACCTGAGGCTGTTTTGTGTACGCTAGGTCTCTCCTAAAGCTGGGGTTGAGATTTCTTCATTTTCTGGCTGCTTGTGCTGTTCTGCCTGCCTTAGGCAAATTTTTTTTTTTTTTTTTTTTTTTTTTTTTTGCGGTACGCGGGCCTCTCACTGTTGTAGCCTCTCCCGTTGCGGAGCACAGGCTCTGGACGCGCAGGCTCAGCGGCCATGGCTCACGGGCCCAGCCGCTCCGCGGCATGTGGGATCTTCCCGGACTGGGGCTCGAACCCGTGTTCCCTGCATCGGCAGGCGGACTCTCAACCACTGCGCCACCAGGGAAGCCTTGCAAAAATTTTAATATAAAAATGAGCAAAGGGACCAGAGCCTGGACAGCCTGAGGGGCAAGGAGACAGAGGGGAAGAGAGGGGAAAGTTGCTTAACTCGCCTCTTCCCTGCTGTTGCCACTGCCCCGGGATCTCTAGGACCCTTTAGTCTGCATATTAGTTGAAAGCCCTCCCTCTGCCTTCCAGTCAGTCATCCAGTCCGCGGCACCCTCTTTCCTTTTGATGCCACTATAAATGACCAATGAACATAATATTCAGACTCAACTGTAATCAAATATAAGCAAATTAGAATAATTATTTGCTTTGCTTTTAGATTAGAGATAATAAAATAATACATCATAATAATATGGGTGAGGGTGTGGAGAAATGGACAGCCTCATACACTGCCTGAGGGAGTGGAAATTGGTACAACATTTTTTACACGGAAATTGGAAATACTGATTAAAATTAAGACTTCAAATCTTTTTTTAGCTTGTCCAAATGTTTACATATATATATATATATTCAATTGAAGTATAGTTGATTTAGAATATTGTGTTAGTCTCAGGTGTACAACAAAGTGATCATATATATATATATATATATATATATATATATAGTTTTTCAGATTATTTTCCATTGTAGGTTATTACAAGATACTGAATATAGTTCCCTGTGCCACACAGGTCTTTTTTGTTTATCTCTTTTATATATAGTAATGTGTATCTGTTAATCCCAAACTCCTAATTTATCCCTCCCCCTCCTTTCCCCTTTGGAAACCATAAATTTGTTTTCTATAAGACTGCAAATCTTTTTTTAAAAATTAATTTATTAATTTATTTATTTTTGGCTGTGTTGAGTCTTCATTTCTGTGCGTAGGGCTTTCTCTAGTTGTGGCAAGCAGGGGCCACTCTTCATCGCGGTGCGCGGGCCTCTCACTATCGCGGCATCTCTTGTTGCGGAGCACAGGCTCCAGACAGGCAGGCTCAGTAGTTGTGGCTCATGGGCCTAGTTGCTCCGCGGCATGTGGGATCTTCCCAGACCAGGGCTCAAACCCGTGTCCCCTGCATTGGCAGGCAGATTCTCAACCACTGCGCCACCAGGGAAGCCCAAGACTGCAAATCTTTTGAAAGAATAGTTCCTTATATACAAATGTGCAATGAAATCTGCACATATGAATAATGTCTAACCTCGCTAGTAAACAAAATATGCAAATTAAAATGAGATAGCATTTTCACCCTATTAGAATGTCCAAGATTTAAAAGAACATCGATGCTCATTATTACGAAAGTTGAGGATGTTCATGGATACCTTAGTACAAGCTGTGTGAAAGACAGTTTGATAGTATGTATCAAAATCATTAAACAGGTGAAAATCTTTTGATACAAGAATTCCACCTTTAGGAATGTATCCCAGGGAAATATCAGAGACATGTATAAAGATATGCATGCAATGATGTTAATCTCAACACTGTTTATGATCGTGAAAAATTTGAAACCATCCAAATATCCTTCAGTTAATTACTGGCAAACCATAACGAATAATACACCGTATTATTGATCATAAGGAATCAATATGGAGGGACTTCCTTGGTGGTGCAGTGGTTAAGACAAAGGAGCCCAGGTTTGATCCCTGGTCAGGGAACTAGATCCCACATGCATGCTGCAACTAACAGTTCGCATGCCACAACTAAGGAGCCCGGCGGCGCAACCAAATAAATAAAGAAATGAATCAATATGGAAAGATAAGCAAGATATATCATTATTTTTAAAAACAACTGTCAGGGCAGTGTGTTAGTACAGTTTCATTTTTGTTTTACAATTTGTGTGTGAAATATGTATATATGCCTTGCTTATTAAATATGTAAATAATTGATTAAAACATATACCAAGCTGTTAATTGTCTTTCTTTCGGGGGGTTATGATCCTAGGAACTTTACTTTTCTCATAATATATACTTAAGTTTTAATGTTTTACAAGCAATGAGTAAAACAATAATAAAAATTAAGAAATTTAGAAAAGTTGCTCAGCTTCTCTGATAAATAAAAGCAAATTAGAAGAATAATGAGATGTAATTATCGTCTATGATGTTGAGGAAAAAAAATTCCAAGATTAACACTCAGTGTTGAATAGAGCCCTCATCTCTAAACTTCTTTGATTAACCACATGTATTAGTAAAACTTTTTGACCTCAAACACTAAATGTATATGCTTATGTGATTGTTTTTTATAAATGAAGATGGGATCATGTTATTCATCCTCTTCTGCCACTTGCAAATCCATGTGTACAGTGATGCTCACTGCAACAATTTTTGGCATAAGAAAAACTGGAAACATTCAGAGCGTCCATCAACAGGGGATTTGTTAAATGAATTATTGAACATTATTAGTCAGCATATGTATTGGTGTAATAATCCGTCGTCAAAGGGAGTGAGGTAGTTGTACATTATTGACACGGTAAGAGCACTGTATCAACACATCACATCTGGAAGTACATACAGGAAACGTAACCTCAGTTCAAGGCGGGGGAGGGGTGGGGAATTGGGAAGCTAAGCAGGGAATTTGCTTTCCATTGTTCTCATTGTGCTGCTGACAATCTCTAAAAACTTGTTTGTATAACTTTTCCCATTAGTAGAATACTACAGATGTAAAGCAAAAGCAAAAATAAGACGCTTTAAGGAGTAAAACAGAATGCACACATCTTAAAGTTAAATTAGTGGGTTTGGTGTATTTGTACTAGCTCACAATTGAGGATTGAAAAAATTCCTAAAGGGATTTGAGGGAACAGGAAACGCGTTCACGCTTCGAAGCTGCTCAAGATCGTGCTTATGAAGGAACATTTCTAACGTTTTGAGCAAGTTTCGTTTTGCTTCCGTTAAAATTTAAAAATTAAAAAAAAAAAAAGACCACCGGGGTCAGGAAGCTATGTCTCCCGGGTGCACTGCAAGCCCCTCCCCCTCCCCCTGCTCCCCCCTCCCCCCGGCTCCCCCCCCCCACCTTCCCCTCCTCTCCGTCCCGGGGCTCCTGATCCCTGGCGCCCAGCCCGACCCCGCCCCGCGCGGCCCCGAGGCAACTTAGCCCGGCGGCCCGGCGGGGCACCAGGGACCGCGGTGGCCCGAGCGCAGCCAGAGGAGGAGGAGGGTGCCCTCCGTGCAGCGCAGCTCGCATCTGCGGCCGCGCGATCCACCTCCCTCGCCGATTCCCCCGCGTGCGTCCCTCTGTCCGCGGAGCCGGCGGGAGGCCCCGGGCTCTGGGCGCTGTATGGGAGGCCAAACCAGACCGATGGCGGCGGCGGCGGCGGCGGCCCTGTCGGGCCTGGCGGTGCGGCTGTCTCGCTCGGCCGCGGCCCGCGGCTCGTACGGCGCCTTCTGCAAAGGGCTCACGCGCACGCTGATCACCTTCTTCGACCTGGCCTGGCGGCTGCGCGTGAACTTCCCCTACTTCTACGTCGTGGCTTCAGTGATTCTCAACGTGCGCCTGCAGGTACATATTTAGAGCAACTAACTCTGTGGCATTGGGGGGTGCCCAGCAGGATGGCTGACCTCCACCCACCAGTTCAGCCGCCCTAGAGCAAAGTGACCAGCTCGCCTCGCGCACACAGACTTGCCGGCCTGTCTTGCCAATTGCCTCGTCTTTTCATATAAATGCGCCGCTAGAAGTCATTTGCAGAAAGCCTGCAGTGTAACCAAAAAAGCCTAAGATATAATGAAAAGTTGAATCTCAAGGAAATAGCTAATTCAAAGAACAGAACCTAAAAAATCTGAAAATCCTCAGAAATATTTGAGAAGTTCTTGCATCCATAAAACAAAAGACAGCACCGAAGGTAGGGAAATGACAATAAGCACAGGATGCCCTAAGGGGGAAAAAAGGAAGAGTTACCAACAACTTAAAAAAAGATAAACTGTACAAGAGTGGTCCAAATAGGAGGCAAGTCCTCCAAATTAGAAAAAGAAATGAATAGACTTCCAACTGAATGGAATCGATTCTAGGCAACAGAAATTTATCGCATGATCGGGAAGGCATACATTTCTTCATCCTAAAAGAAACAACAACGGCAAACAGAACCTACTGGGAAAAACAAACATTTCAAACTGTACAAGGAGAGCATGCTTCACATATGAAGCAACCTCAGACGTGGCCTGTTTTTCAACCGTTGCCTGGAGTGTGAGAAAGGGAATCTGAACACCGGCACGTGGATCCAGCCTCTGCAGTCACAGAAAATCCAATCATAGCGTTCAACTTTGCTATTCAGTGAACAGTGTTTAAATAATCATTACAATGGAAATATTAGTTATGCTTTTTCATTTTTAGAGTAAATCACTAGGCAAAGCAGGGGAGACTTAATTATAGTTATAGAACAGAGTGGGAATGTAAACCAACTTTGGCAAGTACAGGCAACAAGTTGGCAGGCAGAGAGGAGGAAGTGGAACAGTGGTGTTATTCTCCTAAACTAGGAAGTCCAGATACTGTCTCTAGTTGAAAGAATAAGACAGATTTAGGGGTTAGATTTTTAAAGTGAACAAGGTAACCAACAGAAGAATTAAAAATAGTGATATATGGAGGGGGGGAGGAAAACCAAGGGGACAGCAGGAAGTCAGCAGAAAATGCCTCATGTCATCAAGTTAAGAAATAGTAAGAAAAGCATATTATTAGGAAAAATGGAGTTAACCTCTAAACAGACATGTAAAAGCTTTTGCCTCTGGGTTGGGAAAGCAAAAGTTGAGAAGGGTGGGTGGGGATTTACTGCTTTTCATTATATGTCCTTTTGTACTGGTTGATTTTTCTAAATCCTTTATATGCATGTATTACTTTGATTAAAAGTTAAAACTTATTAAAAATGAATTTACTGCAATTAGAAGGAAATCCGGGGGAAGGGGGGTTGGGGAGTGGTACGTGAGTCCAGGTAGATTCTGCCCTCCTATCTTTCTGCAATAGTGGATGCATATCCTAAAATGTTCCTGAATGATCGCATGAAAGATGATTTCCTTGCTTTCCAAGCAAGCCATAAGACCATAAGGAAATGCCTCATGAAATGGCCAGTAATCTTCAGGTAGCCCAGAGCTTCCTTACTCTATGTAACTTTTCACGAGCTAACGTCTGCAATGTCATAGTTAACGTAAAAACAAAAAGTGTGATTTAATTTTTCAAAACTGAAAAATTTAAAAACTGAAAAATTGGACAAGTACCCCATGATGTTTAGACAAGGTTCTTACATTTTAATATTGATCATAATGGCAAGACAGGAAATAAGCTAAACATACAACGGGAGCTTGGCTAAATAGAAATAGTCCATCTATGTAATGGGATACTATGTAGCTATTAAAAATAAGGAACTATATTTTATCCATGTGTACTAGATGTTACGTCACTTCACCAATGACTCAAGTGATTGAGCCAGAGAGAAATATATATATATATTCTATAATATACATTTATATACTCCACCTAGTTATAGAGAAATAATAATACTTGCAAACACTATTGCACACTTACCATAAGCCATGCAAGGTCCTAAGCACTTTATATACATCATTGCATTTAATCCTCACAACAACTCGGAGATGAGTGACTGTCATTACCCCCAATGTTCAGGAGAGGAGACAAACATGGAAAAGGATAGTGGCAGAGTGATGAAATACTGCCAACAATATTATTCTTCCTTCTAATGTGAGACATTCATTGCTATGATTCGTTTTTTTCTTAGCTTTTTTTTTTTTTTTTTTGCGGTACGCGGTCCTCTCACTGTTGCGGCCTCTCCCGTTGCGGAGCACAGGCTCCGGATGCGCAGGCTCAGCGGCCATGGCTCACGGGCCCAGCCGCTCCGCGGTATGTGGGATCTTCCCGGACCGGGGCACGAACCCGTGTCCCCTGCATCAGCAGGCGGACTCTCAACCACTGCGCCACCAGGGAAGCCCTTTCTTTGCATTTTTAAATTGAAGTATAATTGACTCACAACGTTTTATTAGTTTCAGGTGTACAACATAGTGATTCAATATTTTTATACGTTACCAAAGGATCACCCCTGTTATGGTTAATTGTTAATTGTATTTTTATTATTTGAATTGTGAGGCCTCCTTTTTAAAACTTTAGTGTAAAAGTCACTATCCAAGTGGGTGGCATGGATGCTGGAACTTTGGGAACACAGGGCTAGGCACTCCATTCCTGCACCCTCGGGTTAGCACTCCCAAGTACAAGTACGTGTACCACTGCACACGAATGGAGGATCAGATGGAACTCATAGTCATTCAGGATTTGAATTCTACCCAAAGAAATTAGTTTCTTGGTTTTTGGTTTTTGGCTTTTTTTGCTGCACCTCGAGGCATGCGGGATCTTAGTTCCCCGACCAGGGAATGTACCCATGGCCCCTGCAGTGGAAGTGTGGAGTCTTAACCACTGAACTACCAGGGAAGTCCCTCTTTCTTTCTTTCTTTCTTTTTTAAAATTTATTTATTTATTTATTTTTTATTTTTGGCTGCCCTGGGTCTTCGTTGCTGTGCATGGGTTTTTCTCTAGTTGCGGCGAGCGGGGGCTACCCTTCGTTGCGGTGCGCGGGCTTCTCATTGCGCGGGCTTCTCTTGTTGAGGAGCACGGGCTCTAGGCACGCAGGCTTCAGTAGTTGTGGCACGTGGGCTCAGTAGTTGTGGCTCGTGGGCTTAGTTGCTCCGCGGCTTGTGGGATCTTCCCAGACCAGGGCTTGAACCCGTGTCCCCTGCATTGGCAGGCAGATTCTTAACCACTGCACCACCAGGGAAGCCCCCTCTTTCTTTTTTTAAATTGAAGTAGAGTTGATTTACAATGTTTCAGGTGTACAGCCAAGGGATTCAGTTATACATATACACATATAGGGAATTCCCTGGCTTTCTCTGTCTGTCTCTCTCTGTCTGACTTACCTCACTTAGTATGATAATTTCTAGGTCCATCCATGTTGCTGCAAATGACATTATTTCATTTTTTATGGCTGAGTAGTATTCCATTGTCTATATACACCACATCTTTATCTATTCATCTGTCAGTAGACACTTAGGTTGCTTCCATATCTTGGCTATTGTACATAGTGCTGCTATGAACATTGGGGTACATGTACTTTTTTGAATTATGGCTTTCTCTGGATATATGTGCAAGAGTGGGATTGAGGGATCATATGGTAACTCTACTTTTAGTTTTTTAAGGAACCTCCATACTGTTCTCCATAGTGGTTGTATCAATTTACATTCCCACCAACGGTGTAGGAGGGTTCCCTTTTCTCCACACCCTCTCCAGCACTTGTTACTTGTAGACATTTTTATGATGGCCATTCTGATTGGTGAAAAAAATTCCTTTTCTACCTTGACTCCATCATTTCCCTCTTCCTTTCCCCCAGGTCCTCTCCAGATAGGTCCAAACTTCCAACTTTACAGGCACAGATTCAGGTTCCAGGTCCTGAACTTTCCTCAGGCTGGACTACAGCTTTCTGTTGTGACCCTTGACCCCCTTCCTGCGACGCAGTTCCGTAACTGCCTTCAGACTGGTTCTGGTCACCTGAATGACTACTGGTGATGACTCCCTTCTCCAGCAATTCAGAGACTATCTCTAGAATCCTGAGCCCCAGTATAGGGGTGGGAGTGGTTAGAGACTGGGAAACATTCTGTCTTCCATGACTTACCACAAGTCCCCACCTTGGGTAGTTTTACTGCAAATCTAAGAGCTTCGCTTCAAATCCTTCCTGAAAAATGCTTGGGAAGCTAGAGGTCAAGTTCATAAGCTAAATTTTGTTGAACCAAAGAATCTGAGTGATTCTGGGCAAGGTAACCAAAGTCTTAAAAAGTGGAGGCTCTAGAACAAGCAAGGATACCCAATTTGGGGGGCCTTTGCTGGGTGCTGCTGTCCTTCCGTCACTTGGATTTCTACAGCAAGCACTCCTGTGGTCTGGAGAAGCGAATCTCTGATTTTCAGCAGTTCCCCAAAGGAGGGGATGTTAGGTAGACAGAAAAGTAATACAGACAGCATGTACAAACACCCTTCTTCCATTCATATGATTCCAAACGTGCTCCCTCCTGGCATAATTTAATTACTCCACGTACCACCAAGAACTACCCAGAGAGAAACAACACATACAAACACTTCCAGCTATCACAGTCGGAGATGAGGTCATGGGGCCTCTGATTATAGTTCAAGTTCTCCCCGTGATGTCTCTTCTTTCTCTAGCGCCACCATTATCCCAACTTAATATTGTTATTCTACAATTCCATGACCTAAATGGTGAATTCACCACGACCACCACTCTACCCTATTTACAATACTAAAGGAGAGGTGAGAGAGTTTTTTAAAAAGACAACCAGCCAGGCAGTACAGGTAGAAGGTAAGTCTTCGTGTTTGCACATAGCCATGAGGTGGTCCTGGTATTTATGACTTCTCTGTCAATTCCACGCTCCTTTTGCCTTACCTACTGGGGGGGCACAGTTTCGCTCCTGAGGAGTCTGAGCCTTGGTGGGCTTTGTAGGGTTGCAGTAGTCTGGCATGCAAGCCCTCAGGATTGTCATATAAGAAGGCACCTTAGGGGATCCGAGTCTCATTCGTATTCCTCCCTGTCACTCTACAGCATGAACACCACAACCACCTGCTTTGAGTGGTTCCAGGAGCTAAGAGTGACTTCACATTTCATGCAACCACTGTTTTGTCCCAGACTAGAAGTGTTTCTTCTAGGGAACGAAAACCTCTAAACCAGCAGAGATCAGAGTTGCAGGGACACAAAGTAAAACTGTTGCAGATGGGTCAGGTGTAATTACGAGAGGCACCACCTTTGTTTCTGCCCCTCTGTTCCCAAACTTGCAAATCTTGGCAATGGGAGAAACAGCACCATATACTGGTTGCTGGTTCGTAGTGGATATTACATCCTAGCAGGCTGCGCTGTGATTCTCCTATCAGGGCTTACCACAAGCTCCGTACAGCAAGCATACTGATTCACCCTAAACATTTTGGGCACCACTGGATCTTCTAGGTGATAAGAGCCAAGGGGCAAACCTACTAGCATGGTAGCCCACACCAGCTAGCTAGAGAGCCTGTTTTAGCTGTGGATCCATTAGTCTGGGTGTGGTAGGAATAACACCTACTTTTTCAAGTCTTGGATGGTGGCCAAAATCTCTGCACTTCCCATAAGGATAAGCTATCGCATTTTACTTCCTCTGTTGATAAGGAGGGTGATTTGCCTCTCCTTACCCTCATATCCCTTTCTCCAGGGGCCAGGTAGCCACTGTGGCAGTATACAGGAGACAGGTGCCTGTCTCTGCCTGGAAATTTCCGGCAGTCAGGACGCTCACTGTTCCAGCAGGATGAGCAGAGGCCATGATATGGTGGATGTGGAAGCAAAGGATGGGGGCGACCTCCCACTCGCTGCCTTCTCTCTGCATCCCTCAGAAGGTGCAGAAGATGACTTCAGTGGTTTCCTTGATGGCATGTGTTGGAGCACAGAGGTTAGAGGAAGCAACAGAAGGTCAGGGTAGCCCTGACAGCTGCCAGCCCAAAACACTCCATCTGGAGAGGAGATTAGGGACTTGGTTTGGTGGGTTCTAAACGGAGGTCCAAATGTCCCTGTCTGAGAGGGTCCTCGGCTATGTCAGGGGAGACGGGATGCCTTGAGGCTGGACATCAACCACAATAACAAAACGTACACACTCTAAGCAACGTGCAGATACTACCTGACACTAAGTGTACCTGGGAACTGGTAGAATAATCCCGGCGAAGGGGCATCAGGGTCTCCCTGAGCCTCCTGAGTAGCAGCCTCAGGGAAGAACCCCATTTTCCCCAACCTCCTTAAGCACTCCCTCCACTCTGCACTAGGTACTACTGCAGGGGTGTCCTGGGTCCCTTGGCACTAGCACTGCCTTAAAGGCAGTTTTCAATTAGTCTCTGAAAGGTTTGGGGCTGTCCTGCTTTCCCTTGCAAGTTGCCAAGGTCAACGGCTACGGGGGCTTTTGTAGCCAAAATTGGGGTCCGGCTGCTCACCGCTCAAAAGCCAATAAAGAGTCAAGGTTGGTGGGAAGGAAAGTTTGCTTTATTTTGGAGGCCGGCAACCGGGGTGGGGAGGGGA